ATCAACATGATGATGTCAAAAGATAAACCTTTAGCAAATTCCAAAACTCAAGTTTGCGAAAAGGGTAATTCGGAGTCACTCTCTTTTATCCTCTAAAACTTCCTTTGATAATTTTAAAATTATCAGAAACCATGTCCAGATACCAAGCAAACTCTCAAAGAGCAACATTTAGCCTTTTTGATGATATACATGAAATATCCCAAATCTTTATAATTTTTAATTTTTTATGAAGCTGAGTGCACGAATTCTTCCGACAATGATAGAAGGTAATCTGCTGAGTTCAGCTGAGAAAATAATAAAGCTCACCTGCACCTCTAGAGCTCGCACTGCTGTTGGCAGCTCGCTGTCACTTGCATTCACTAGTTCTGTCGCATATTTCTGCTCATTTGGATCCAAGGCTGATTTTAAAAGAATCTAAGACATAATTGAGATGATACCTCCCATTCTGCAGCAAGCATCTCTCCCTTCGGATCCACAATTTTGACGCCATTGTCGTTGGCGGGGTTATGAGACGCAGTTATCATTAGCCCGATTGTTTGGTTTAATTCCCTAAAGTGCACTAGATACCAAATATATCAGATAATGGCAAGAATATATGAATCGAACCTGGCTCGAAGGCCTGCAAGATATCCCATTCGGAAAACTACAAATGGAAGTAAATCAGCATTTTGACGAAACCCAGCTGTTCCTAAACACACATTTTAAAGTAGGACATCGCTTTTCAGTGAGTAAATTAGCTATATTAGTTCAAAATATCTTTTTTAGCTTTTACATGATATAGGCAAACCATAAGTAAATCGCATTTCCTCAGGTATTGGTCGCAGCTGCCCTTTATGGTTGCGATTCCTGCTACGAGTAAAGTCTTCCGGAACCTCCACAGGAAGCAAGTCTGCCATACCTATAAATTACAAATGAGCCGTCTATCCTTGAACACTTCACGAACTATATGAACTCAATAGCAAAACTAGATAAACTTCTCAGCTTTCCAGGGAAAGGTTTATTAACAAATCAAGAAACAATCTCTCAGTAATGACATTTGTGGAGGAGTTGATTTTTGTAAGAGATGAAAGTGGGCGAATATGTATAATCCAGTGTGAATTTTTCATATAAGCACCATTCTCATCCTTTTTGTCAATTCTACATTTTATTTTGATGGTCTGTGAAATTAACTAATATAATTTGCAGGTCCTCTCTTGTTTGAACCTCGGCATTGTTACGGTATTTCAGTGTGTTCTATGCCAAT